TATATATATATATGACTCCTGGACTTTATGTCTTTGGTGATATCAAGGCTGTTTTCATCTTTATGTTCAATTATATGCTGTAATTTTATATTTTACCATTCTATTTTGAATTTTTTTTTATCTAGGAGGTGTTGGGTTGTTTTTTTTTCAATATGCTCCTTTTGAAACAAAGTTCCTGCCTCTTCCATCCTCTCTTTCATTACTTTTCATTCTGCTTGACTTTTAGAATACACAGCTTAACTTAACCCTAGGTAAAGAATCCTCCTTGCTCGTCAAGATCTGGGTCTGTAATCATATGGCAATGTTCTGTCTACATCTTCAGGTTTATCGGAGAGGAAACCTTTGCAGAGACAGGACAAAAGTGTGAGCTCACAGACGAGCCAACGTGGATCATCGACCCTATTGATGGAACCACCAACTTTGTGCACAGGTACACAGGAATCTTTTTTCAAAATGTACTTCTTGTTTTGTTCTCAAAAGCGAGAAATGAAATGAAAGTTTGTTATTATTATGGACAAACAACCACTTCCATTTTGCCTCCATGCATTTCCACCTTGGGAAAACAACCACTTTTTCTCCTAAACAATCGTCACAATGGCTAGCCGTCGTTGACAGTTTTGACTGTATTCAGGAATTTTAAAGATTTTCTTTTGATTTTGGGTAAACTGCCCTAGGTGCAACCAGACGTAGGTGTAACCACTTTCACTGTCTTCTAAATAAAGCAGGAGAGTGAAAAAAATGAACAGAGCACCTTCCCTTGGGCTGTCTGTTGACTTATAATCCACTTCCTTTTTCATTTCCCCTTTTATGAAGTTGGTACAAACATTAAAATGTTTGTTGAAAAACTTGATTTATGAGATTTTTAGGTAAGCTTTTCAAGGGGAGATAACAAGAAAAACATTGTTTCAATTTTCAATGGTGTTTTCTTCAAGATGAGTCATTTATTACTGATGGTGATAAGCATTTAAGGGATAGAAGACAGCGGAATGTCTTTGGTTGCACCAAGGGCATGGCGAAATCACCTAAGCCCTACACTCAACTAGGCTGGTTGTTTGTTGGGCAAGGTGATTTGTTTTACGGACCAAGATGCAATAACCTCTTGGGTCTTGCCAGAATAATACTATCGAACCCCTGGTTAGGGTTAATCAAAATTATGGTTATTTCTAGCTCATAATTTTGTATAAAAAGGAACCCCCCCCCCCCAAAAAAAAAAAAAAAAAAAAAGAAAGAAAGAAAGAAATGACTAAATAAATAATACCCTTGTCAATTTTGTGGAGCATTACCGTTAGTGTCGTACTTGCAGTAAACATAGTTTATAATAAACACAAAGATAAGTGTCTAGCTAGCACAAAGTTAAAAAAAAACCCACACTTACTGAAAAGTTATTCAGATCCTGAATTTGTTCTTATATATTACAGTCTTCGCATTCAAAACACACAATTATGGTGTTCATAGTTAAGAATTCATATAGTAAAAACAAAAATGGCATCAGCAAGGGCACATAGACCTACCTGTTCTTCGAAACATAAATTAAAATGTCAATGGTTTTTTCATTATGTTTTAATTTTAGATAGTGATTTTTTTTCCTGGTCAATAGCTGTAGCATTTATTTTCATTGTTTTCTTTCGCTCACACTTTAATTCCCGTAGTCAAGCTCATAAGTACACATCAGTGAAATGTTTTATAGAAGCAAGCTTTGCCACTGATCATTCATTTCATGTCAATGACCCCATTAAATTTTACAATTTTAAATGTTCCTTGTGTCCCCTTCTTCAAGTCCATTGCATCTTTTCTGTGTAAAGTTTGACAATTACGTAATAAATATCTATGTTGCGTTATGCACATTTGAGATTTTGTACATTCCCTATTCTCTCATCCAGAGTTCAAGAGGTGTCATTCTCCCTGGGTGTTACCATCAATAAGAAGGTAAGATTTTATGCTTATTGAAGACTCGTTGTTTTGGAGTACTTTAATAATAAAGGCATAACTTCGTTATTCATGCAGATTTTTCCTTTCTGTTTCTTTATCTGAAACTTTAATGAGGCAGGCAAAAATATGCATACTATGAAATAATCAAATTTATGCATTTCTTTTGTGTATGATGGTTCGAAATGTGCCGCAGCATTGCCTTTGGCCTGTTACTTGCTTTTCGGACACATGTTTCCACTTTGTCCTTTTAAGAGCTAATGCTTATTTGTACAGATGCAGCGTTTGAGAGCTGCTAATTTTGCTGATTATAATGTAGTCATGTTGTGTAACATCAGATTGAAGGAAACTGAGGGTTAACAAAAAGTGAATAAATGATGGCAGAAAATAAACATGTGCTCGGCTGAAGTGTGACGTGAAACAAATGAAATATTTTCAATTATACTAGAACATCTTGGATTGGCATGGAATGAGTTAAAAATTTGTTGCTCTAAAGTATAGACATTAATTTTTTTAGAACCTACTTTATCTGCAGTGCTACAAATGAAAGAGAGAAAGTTTTACGGAGCGAGTTTTTAGCTCGTGAGACCTATATTTACTCATGTCCTGTATTGTTGTGCATATGCGTGAGTGCACCTAATCTTTGTAACATCCACTGTCATTGTAAACGACCAAGACAAATTTCTCTCTATAAGATGAATAAACATTGTCTTTGTCATCTTTCTTGTAAATGTAAATCCTGGCACTGGTAGAAACAAAATCAATGATGGTCTTTATTATTTTTTAAAAAATTTATTTCAGCCTGTGATAGGTATAGTGTATGCACCGGTCAAGGAGGAAATGTTCACCGCTCGCCTGGGACAGGGGGCCTTCTGCAATGACCAGCGGCTCAAAGCTAACTCTATCACAGGTGATGACATATTTTGGGTCGCATTTATTTTTGATTGGCTCCATGGACTTGAGTTGAAAAGCTTTTTAAAAAAGAATGCACAGGAAAAATTACTGTAGTTCCTTTCTAATAAAAAAAAAAATGTAATGGGCTTTGTAGATTTCTTTTTTCACTGTCCTCTGAAAGAGTAATTATGTAGTTTACCACTGCAAGTCTTTGCAAAATTAGCTCCTGTCTTTGTTTGCAAGGAGAAGGGTATGTTTTAGCCTGGGTTGGACTTTCTTTTTCTCTCTAAAAATCTGATGTGTGGATTTGGAGAAGTTGGAGCAGCGTTCATGTACAGCTACGAAAGCTGTCTGACAAGCAGAGTGAAACCATTTGTATAGCACAAATTTTCACTCAGTAGCAAGCTCTATATGCTTTACTTTACTTTACTTTACTTTTCCTATCCAGCGGTCATCTGGGTTAAGAGTATAAGCTTTACAATCTACATTATTACCCCAGCAAACCTGATAGCATTCTGAAACAATCTCAACTTGCTGGGACGTATGCAATACAAGAAATACCCAGGTGTATCAGAGACTCAAGTTCCCTGGCAATGTTTACAAAGCAGATAAAAATCTCCCCTTTTTGCTGAGGCATTTGATCAATGTTATGTTTGAAGTAAAACTGTAGAGGGAGGGAATGAGAAGAGAAAGAGAGAAAATGAAAGGATCACTATTGGAAATGCAGTCGAACCTGGCTTAAAGATTCTAACTTAAGACAATCGGCTGTGTAAATAATTGATTGGTGTGTTTGTGTATCATTGTATGTCATATTTTTTGTGGGAGAGGGAGAGAAGAGACAGAGAGTGAGAGAGGAAGAGATAAGGAGGGAAAGCATTGCTATTGTAAAATGCATTGGGCACTTTCTTAGTAAAAATGGGCAATATGAGTGAAACTTATTATTATTATTATTGTTATTTATTGATTTTACTTTGAAAGCAAATGTGTTTCCAGGTCTTGGTTACTGACGATCTTTTCTTTTTCTTTTTTTGACAGAGTTGAAAAAGTCCCTGGGCATTGTAGAGGGAGGCAGTGCTAGAGACCCAGCTGTGGTTCAGGACAAGATAACGAATATACATTCCATCCTGAAGAATTGCCATGGGTATGCATTTTATAACAATACAGGGCTGCCTAAATCTACTGATTTTTCCAGTAGTTTCTGATTTTGGACTTCTTCTACCGCCATATCGACAAAGGTGCCAAAACCATTAGACTTTCGATGGACAGTCCAAGAAGTTTAAGAAAACACATCTCCTTTCATCCTCACTGCCCACCTTCATTTATGCACACCCAACACCCCCACCCCACCCCACCTGCATGCACACATGCATACATGCACAACTTGTTAACCCTATCCATACGCCCTGGGATCATTTTGTACCCCAGGGGTTGTATTCTTCACATTTTAGATTACTTCTAGTGCGAAGATCTCTTTGAAACTTTCAGTATTTCTCAAAAAATCATTTTGACAGACTGCTATGCAAAGGGTACGGATTGGATTAACGAGTAAATTTCCTCTTTGGAAAGTGATGTCACAGAGTTCCCCATATCGTATGGATGCGATAGTAAAACTTGAAGTACGGATAGGGTTAAAATATAACACCTAATACCACAAAAGCTATCTTTGTATGTTGGTAAGGTAACCATAACCATGTGTACCGAGGTAATGTCAGTCTCTTTTTTTTTTCTTTTCTTCTTTTTCTTTTTACTACTTGATTTTTCACCAAAATACCTGAAACTGACCCTGAATTTATCTGAAATGGTAACTTTGGATTTTCTCAAAATATAGCTTTTTTTTCCTTTAAATTTTTTGTAAAAACTGAAACTTTGTTACTGCGGATGGACTGAAGAACAGTTTATTTTTTTATTTCAGGTCTTCCTAAACTTATTTGGGACACCTGTAATTGTGAGGTGCGATAGTTTTGGGGGATTTTTTTTACTGACTGCTCCTGTCGCAACCAAATAAAAGTTAAAAATTTCTTGAGAAAAGTGAATTTTCAAAAGTACTATAAAGGTCTGCTTTTATTTAAAGTTCGGCATTTTCCATACAACTATTTTTCTCAGAGCCACACCCATTTAATCATATAAGTTTTGTTACACTTTATGCAGCTTTTAATTTTGAATTTTTCCCCCTGCTTGCAGGTTCCGAGCGTACGGATCATGTGCTATTAACTTATGCCACGTAGCAGCTGGTCGCGGAGACTTCTATGTGGAGTACGGGGTGCACATTTGGGACTTTATAGCCGGCGTGTTGATAGCTCAAGAAGCTGGGGCTTCTGTGTGCGATCCTGAGGGTAAGCTTGCCTCTGTTGTCCATAGATGTGGTTACTGACTTTACCTTGCTCTTTGACTTACTTACTGCAGCACACAGATATGGCTCCTGACCTTACCTTGTTCTTACTACAGTCCAGTCCATTTATAACAGCCTTTGTTATTACAGGAACTTGGACTTAACTTAACAGCGTTAAATGAAATCACGTTTTTTTTTTCTCTATAAGTGTAAGGAATATGAACTTGGCTATAACAAGATTCGATTTGAGCAGACTCAGGTGTAACAGTGATCTTGTAGTGCTGAACTTGCTTTCGATCCGTTAAATTATTAAAATCAGTCTCAACCTAGACATTTTGCCTGTTTGTATGATCTTTTGCCTCTAGTTCAAACTTTCAAACACCAATAGTGTTGGGGTCACTGATTGGTTCCGTCTCAGTGTTAGCAAAACAACCCACTGGAAAATGATCTACGGTAATCGACTATATATATAGTAAGCTGAAGGTGTAATGGTACTGGTAGTTTCCCTTGATAACGGTTATAACAAGACTCGCTTATAACAGGGAGGAACTGCCGGTCCCGTCTGTCTTGTCATATCCGAGTTTTATTGTAACTGTTGTTCATAGATATGGCTATTGACTTTACCTTATCCTTATTCTCTTATTCATGAATGTAGCTACTGTATAAACTCTGTCCTTAATGACTACAGCTCATGGATGTAATATTAGGTAACAGAAAACAAATTTTCTAAGTAGCTGCATGCCAAATTTATCTGTTCCATATGAAAGGCCTATATCTCCTAATAATGTTGGTACATTCTTTAACCTCTCCATCAAAATGTTAAAGAAAATGGTAGCTGTTTTAGATATGATCAAATATTTCTAAAGTCACTAACTGGCTGCAACCCCATGTTGGATAGATAATAAAAGAGTATAAAGTACACCAAACATCTCTGCAGTAACAGAGTACAATCTCTATAGTATGTAGCGACTGACTTAACTGTGTCCTTACTCTGTACAGCTCATAGAATAGATGTAGCTACTGATTTTTACCTTGATCTTACGACAGCTGAAGAGTTCACCAGAAAAAAACGAATGGTTATCACAATAGGTATCGCTTTAGTACTGAGTGAGCGATATTGCATTTGGTAGTATTGATGCAGAATGAGGTTAGTTTTAAACGATTAAAAGGCTGAATCCTTATGTCTGACCCTTTTGATTTTGCTGGCTCGTTTCATCAGTAACTTTCTTTTTAGAAGCATGTAGCAGCTGACCTTCCCATTTTTATTGTGATAATGATTGATGCCTGCTAACTTGGGAGTGGAAGGTTCCCACCGTATGTTGAAAGGGTTGGTGCTGTTGTATTATCTCTGCGATGTAATATACTAATTTATACTACATATTTCTTATTATTGTACTGTGTGTTTTGTTATATTATTTTTGTTTTTAAAATTTTTTTTCAAATACATCTTGCAGGTGGTGAACTCAGTCTTCTGCGGCGTCGGTTGCTGTGCGCATGTACTCCAGAGCTCATAGTTCAAATCCCTCCCATCCTTACACACCTGGACATGGGCTCTGACTAGTTCGTCCATGTCGTAAGAATATTATCTTTAGTGTTTTCGTGGTACGAGGGAGAATTAACCTATTATTTAAAGGAGTATATAACATGTGCCTGGTGCTATAGGTTCTTAATGAAGTTTTCACTTCATTTACCATTAAAGTCATTTGATTTTTACATTTTTGGTGTTTATTTCTGTCCAGATAGTTTATAATCAAGAACTTTTTTTTTATATAGTTGTTTACTTTCTCTTGCCCCTCTTTCAAAGTCGGTCACATTACAGGCATTGAATGGAATGAGTAGGGAGTTGACCAAAGTGTGTAGGACTGCTTTTTGACCTTACAAGAAATTTTGTCTTGTATCATATTTTGCTTTGTTAATGCCCTCAAAATGTACATATATACATCTGGAGGATTGTTTAGTATTATGTCTACAGATAGGACAGAATTGATGTCATCATTTATATTCAAGACATGAAAATATTTTAAAACCTCTGCATATGTGAACACCTGAGTTGAAAAAAGTTTCCTCAGCTCACTGGTATTTCTACTTTGTAGAAAACATGAGACAGTAAATCAGGAGGAGGTCCATAGATTATTTTGAATTGTGTAGAATTAGACATCAACAGCAATGTTTTTTTAATGCTTGAAATAGGTCAAGTATACTAATTTGCGTCTTTGATTTACTTTCTTTATTTATGATTTTTTGTGTTTAATGAAATTGGTTATTAGACTGCATAAGATGAAAACTTTCTGCCATACACTAGACTTTGAAAAAAACCTAGAGAATTGAGAGCATGAATATATAAATCTGAATGAACTGAATGTTTGCCTGCTTTCAAAGCATGAGTATACATATCGAGGCTCAACAAATTACTTTTTTTTAAATGAGATATATGAAACCCCTCATGATTAGTGCTATCTTATTTTATGATAATAATAATAATAGATTATAGGTAGCTTTTGCCATACCCAAATTCCCCCTCAACAAGTCTATGCTCTTTACAATCTACATTACCTCAGCAGACTTGATGGCATTCTGAAGCAATCTCAACTTCCTGGATGGCAAACATTTCAGAACACTGTTCCAGCCCTGAGCGTTGCTTGTGCAGAGTTTGCACTCTATTTATTGCATTTCTTTCCCTTAACTCTTTTTTTCCATGGGGAGTAAACCCACTATGGCGGGCCCCTTCTTTGGTACTAAATCTGAAAACGACAAAAATGTCATGAAATGGGTCATTAAATCAAAACAAGTCAACCTATTTTGATAGTTCCTCATCTAATGAATGGACTCTCGATAAAAGAGACCTGTTTTCGGCATTTGCCGAAAAGTAATTTGATGTCGAAGTTGTCTCAAAGGAATGTGCCTGAGCCACTGTCAGCAGCTCACCGGCGCAACAGTTCCGACCTGGAGCTGCTGAGAGCTTTTTCATGAGATTATAGAGTTAATGATTTACTTTGTATGCAACACTTTATAAAAAGATCCTTGAGAAGTACTTGGGGAAATAGTATTTCTGGGCAAACCCACACCTGATTTGAAATTACAAATATTTATTGAAGATATTTTTGTCATAGTGCTTTTTTAAATACTGGCTGAAGGTGTTTGAAATGTTCTGTACTTTTATTGAGTATGTATATGAGTATTGTGTAAGTGTTTTTTTTCCAATGTGGCATGCATTTCTAATTCTTTACAATGGGATCTCTTGTTCTGTCATGAGAATGAATTTTGTCCCTCTGAATGTGTCGGGATTGTTTTGTTTTAATTTTTGTTTTTTAGTTCCAGTGGCAAGACACTTTTGAAGCAAGGGTAACTGTAAATGAAGTCGAGAATTTTTAATGCCACTGATCTGCCAAGTAGGCTACTCTGATAATGTTGGAGCTCCTCGATTTTTTTTTGTCTGTTGAAGAACCCGAATTGTATCTGCTTTCCAATGGTGGTAGGCGACTTACTGCTAATGACATGAAAATACAATGATTTATTTGCAATATTTGCGCGACTTATATCTTAAATCACTTGAAAATTAACATTTTTATTTGCATTTGTTTACGATACACATTTATTTTCCTTTATCAGTTCGTTGCATAATATTCTTAAGCTTCTTTTATCTGGTTTCATCTGAAGAAACAAATTTTTTGTTAATGAGGATCCTGGGGGAAACTTTTATTTTTAGCCATGGAGTAGTGGGTAGACCTGTTACAAATGTGAGTAGCAGGTTTTTTTCACAGGTCTTCTTTTTGACGAATGACCCAGTGTGATGCTTAGATGATAATTCAAATGATTAACTCCTTCGGGACGCATCGGACGTACATCCGATAGCATTTCTCAACCGCTGTGGCCGCACAAATGAAGGTATTCCAAGTAACAAACTTTTGTTTGACATTGCTAAGTCATATTTTATTTTGTGTTTATTTTCTCTTGAACTTGAACGTACAGCGTCGGTTTTTGTAATTTTCTGTGGCGATTTATGAGGGCATTCGAGGCAACAAAGAACACGGATCTTCGAGGAGTACCATATAAAGAAGGACTATTCATAGTAACTGGAACTATTTCTTCACAGTATTTGGACTGTAAATTGTGTTGTGATTTGTTTTTAGCTGCATTATAGTTGTGTTGTAACTTTATCTTGTTTATTTCTGCATTTTTTCACAGTCAACTTAGAGGGAAAAAAAACAGTTTTGTTTTGTTTGATGCACCATTTTTGTAGGGGTCCTGGCAAGTTTAGGAATATATCCAGGCAAATTGGGTTAGATCTAAAGCAAAGTCTAAATGTTGAATGTGTAGATAGTAAAAACAGACTTTAAAAATGTCGAAAAGGAAAAAAATGGCAGACTTTCAAAGTTGACCCAAAATTGTGCGTCTCTGGGTGCAAAGCTGGTCCTAAACCTGCGTCCCGAATGAATTAAGGGAACTTATGCTGTTCTATACTTTACCCTTGTCACAGACCTCAAATTATTGGATTTCAAATCATATGAATATAGTCTTCAAGTGCTGGTTCTGAAAGAAACATCAGCAATCATGGATTGCCATTCCTCTTCACTGAGAGGCTCTAAAAAATCTTTAATATCTTGGCATTTTCCTGTCAGCTATTTTTTCTAGTTTTTCGAGTTCAAGTTCTGTAAGTAAGAAGAGTAAGATATACAACTAAAATAAAGCCGTCCAATCTTTCCTGTTTTGTTGTCTGCGTTTTTGGGGGTTTTTTTGGTTGTTTGGTTGTTTGGTTGGGTTTGTTGTTGGGGTTTTTTTGGGGGGGTAATTATTTTTTTGAACATTTTTAGCCCTCCTCCTAGCCTTTGTTATCTTTTGAGGTTCAGGATTGTTCAGTTATTTAAAACATTTTTTTCCTTTTTTAAAATTTAAAGCAGGCCTAAAGCTTTTTTTATCATCTTCAAACACAAAACCATATGAGAATCATTGTTTTAACTTGTATTTGTTGTATTTACTCAATCAAATGCCTGGAAATGACCTCAAACTTACCTTTATTATATCAGTGCAGTATTTCCGTATATTATACATTTTTCTTGAAACAACATCTTGTAGTCCAATCCCCTGATTAACAACTCAGGACAAGGACTTGAATCAAAAACCTTGGTGTGAAGGGGCTAGTGGACTGGGGTTCCTCATGCCATGGAAAACCTGTCATTGTGTTCCCATGTCTTTTCGCCATTTAGCACTTAATGTGTGTGTTTGAAGTACAGTATTTCTTCGCTATTCAGCAGTTCACATTATGTGGACTCAGTACGTTGCCAAATTTTTATCTTGCTGAAACTGAAACACGGGGGAGACCAGGGAATCTCTAAGTCTAATGGCACATGATTGGTCGAGACACATTCAGCCAGAACAGGCTGTTCTGTACTAAGCTTATAAATGTTTTCTATTTTTAAATAATGATGGTCTACCATACTACGAGGGTAGACCGTCTTTAGAAGAGCATGGAAGAGAGTTAAAAGAGTGCAGAGAGAGTTTATTTAGGCATGAAGTGTGTAATAAACATCTCATTTCTGCTGTTATCATTTTCTCCTGCAATGGTATGTTCTGGAATGAAACCCTGCGATATCTGAGGGAATACTGTACATGGTACTGGCCTTCAAATAGGTATGGGACCGATATGTCATCGAGTACAGGTATATTAATTACCTTTACACCTTAAATGAAGTCCATAAGAATATGATAAGTCTTTGATATGTATCAACAGACAGGAACAGCAAATTGGTAGTTGGTACTTATGCAAGCATGTAGTTACAAATCGTCGCCTCAGAGCTATTTTGTTCAAAGTGTACTAATGTAAAGATGGCCCTTTGGACAAAACAGTTCTGAGACGATGGAATGTAACATTTGTGAATATTTGATTGGTATGTTACTATTAAGCTCACAGCTGTTCACTTATGCTTTTATTGTGTATATTTAGTGCAAGTTCATCTTTCGTCTCTTCATCATGTGGTGAGTTTGGAGGTTCCGCTTCTTTTATAATCTTATATGTTGCAAGGGGGCATTTAACGTATATATGGGTGCTCTCGTGGCCTAGAGGTTAAGGTGCTCGCCTCTCATTCAAAGGTTCCGGGTTCGAAAAGGTGTAGTGGCGGAAAAATGTTCTTCTCTAAAATTGTCTCCTTTCACCTCCTTTCCTGCTTTCTACCAATGTTCTATAATCTGCTTTCGTCTCCACTTTCTGCCCCCCACGCCCTCACCTCCTTTGCCCCTCTCTCCTCTGGGCTCCTGACTCTTTTTGCAGTCTTTCTACTGCTACTCCTTGGCTCCTTCTTATTGCTGTCTTTCAGCCACACCCCTGTTCTTCTGGTAGGAAAGATCGACACCTAGCCTTCTTGGACAAGGGCGAAATATCTAGGAGGTCCTGTGTGCAAGTTGCGCACTTTAAAGATCCTTTGATGGTCTAAAATCGACCACCATGGCAAGATTCAAAATTTCCTATCGACTAAAAAATGTTTAATGTGTCCCGAGTACTCATATTCATTATGATCTTATGCTGTTGTGAGCGCCATAAAACACCTACAAAAATTATTTTTTAAAACTTACTTTGAATTCTGAAGTGTTTAGGGACTCAACTCAACAATGGCAAAAAAAGTCTCAGTCTGCCGTGTTCAAGAAACATTACAGCTTATACTTACTGTCCACTTGGGCATATACGGGCGTCACAGCCCTTCTAGTGGCAGAGTCCTCAGATTATCTGTAATGTAATTTCTGACTGGCTAAGTCTGTGTCATCTGTCTCACAGCCATAATACAATGGAGTCCGCTCAAACTGGAAAAGTGGTAAACTGAAAGAAAATAAAATTCCCAATCTTTGTTATCTTCTATTTTATTTTTAGTTACCTCTCTATACTGAATACTCAGCCAAACTGACGGAAGTCCGTCCGTCCTGCTCATTTCTGTTTCAGCTGACTCTATTGTATATCATTTATTTTTGCGTTGCCCATTATAGTTGGGTATTTTTTTTTTATGGCTGATGACCTGAATAATGGTACCGAAACAATCAGAATCAATTTTGCCATTACTTAGAATTTGATTTCTTTTCAAATCATCCAAGATGTTTATATTGTGGCATTGTGTATGTTATTTAACACTTAAGTCTATCAGCAGTTGTGGTTTTTATTAAAAAGCACGAAATAATGAATACCAAATTGCTTCCCTTCAAATTGTAGCATACCTGTTTGTTTTTAATCTTAAAGAATTAGATCTTGCCTGATTGACAAAAGATTTTTACATCCATTTTTAAAAGGTCTGAGTAAGGTTTTTTTGTGTAGGTCTATGTGGACTTGTTTGTAACTTTCAGAATGTACCTTAGTTTAACGTTGGTGCCATTTTTTTGTCAGCAGTGTGGTGAAGTTTGACTTTCTTTTTTTCGCAATTTTGGAGCAAATGTTATCTTTTGCAGTTGTCTGTGTGAGAACTGCAGCAGTATTATTGTCATTGTTTGGGTGTAATAAATTAATATTAACGAAAATTGATTTTAGTTCTGAAAGTCTTGTTTTATTGTTTATTTTCATGGTTGAATGCCAGACTCTTAACAAACATAATTTTACAAATTGAATTTTGTCTCATTCTGCACCCTGACATCAATTTAAAGTGTATTTATAATGTATGTTATGTTTGAGTTTTTGCGCAAAAAGTCACTGAAAAGTTGTGAGACCTGTCATTACTCTGGAAGCAATGAAGTTGCATTAAGTAGGTGGTTGGCTGGTGCTCTCGTGGGATTTGCTCCTTCTTTCCTATCAAACATCTATCATCCTTATCTCTCCTCCTCCTTTTTTGTATTTGTTACTTTTTTGCAACGTCTTTAACTTTAATCTTCAGAACCTAATGGTGTTGCAAGTGCTGTAAACTTTTGCTAAAACAACTCCAGTGCAAGTCTCCAGTTCCCTTGTTCTGTCGCTACCTCAAAATTGCAAAGTTTTATCCGACATTTTTGGCCGTTTTGAGTTATTAAGACCATGAGGTCAGAAATCAAATGTTCTACCTTCTCTACCATAATCGTAAGACTATTCGGGGTCGTTATACAAATATTAAAAGAATTGCATTCGAAAAAGCTTGGCATGTTGTGAAACTCTAAATCTTTGACATCAGATTTCTTCAAACTAGGAACTGAGCAGATAGAACTTTGTAATTCTGAGGTAGGTCAGTATCTACTTTTTCTGTTTTTCTGTTTACTTTGGGATCACCTCTTGTTATTCTTCTTTTTTTTCTTTTCTATTGTTGTAGTTGTATTGTATTGATCGGTTATCTCCTCCCCGAGAATTTCTTCAGGCGACAAAGTTTACATAAAATCAAGTTCATAGGTTGACAAGTTCATCAGTGTATACTCTTTCTCTCTCTGTCTGTCTGTCTCTCTTTCTCTCACTGTCTCTGTCTCTGTTTCTCTCTCTCTCTCTCGCTCTCGCTCTCTCTCTCTCTCTCTCTCTCTCTCTCTCTCTCTCTCTCTCTCTCTCTCTCTCTGTTTTTAACAGATGAGTGTGTGTGTCTCTGTGTCTC